AGATATATACAAACATGTCTCTGAAGTGTTTGGCTCCAAACACCAAACAGATCATTGCAGCATTACCCATAATCCCCTCTGTTTCAGCCCTGTTTCCAAAGTGCTGATTCTCTGTCTGTTACTTTAGATGAAAATAAGGAGCCCCTCCCCACGCCCCTCTGAGAGAGATTTGGTTAAAAAGAACACAATGGTTGGCTAATGGTTACTCAAGTCAAAAAATCGTTATGACATCATAAAGTGGCCAAAATCTGATCAGCTCATTTTCAGACAGGTTTTTATAGAAATGGATCAGGACAAAAAGAGAGAGAATCTTTTTTCCTGAGACTTTCAGAATCGCTTTACACAGAGGGGACACATGTTGATGTAGAAGAGACATGAAGAAGAGGGGACACATGTTGATGTAGAAGAGACATGAAGAAGAGGGGACACATGTTGATGTAGAAGAGACATGAAGAAGTGGATTTTGCACAATAGGTGACCTTTAAAGTAAATGTGACTGAGATTGAAATAAAATATCATGCCATGTAAATATGTAGAGAGTGGTGTTGTACCTTCAGCCGGTTGTTTTCGTTCTTCAGGTGTTTGATGCAGAGTCTCTGAGCGTCGATCTGCTGACTCAGCAGCGGGGAGTCGACCACCTGCAGACCTGAAGCCGAGCCGACGGCCGACATCATGTTCGCTGCGGAGCGAGACATGTTATTCACACCTGACTGCACCCTTACCTTCATTTCCCATTCAGTAAACAACCTCAGCTGGTGTTTGTATTCTCAGTTCAAATGAAAAACAGGTTACAACATTTTTGTTAATATGCATTGTGACCATATAGCAGAGGATGTTCATGCTGGAGGATGCAGAATAATGGGATGAATATCATATTAATAGATCATTTACACCTAAAAACTGGTATTAACTGTTTAATACCCGTTTTCAACAAGATACATTTTAGACCTTTTTTTTTATATGACATATCCTGCTCATTCCTCGATCAAACTTAGTCTTCGTTGTGTATGAAGAAAAGGCTGGAGCGTGAAAAAAAGCCTAGATTTAGTTCTGATTGTTTTTCTCATTAGATTTCTAAAACCCTTCAATGTTGTTTTTCTTTAAAGGATCAAAATGATTTCCCTGAATAGATTATGCATGTGGTATTTCACATCCATCAAACCATGCACAATCTAAGAAAGAATAGCATGCGGGATGAACAACAGCAGCCAGTAAAAGCAGGAGATACCTTTTTGTTCCTCTGCAGGAGGGAGGGGAAGAGATTAGGAAGAGAAAGTTGAGGTCAATGGTTGTTAGGGTGAAAAAGAGGACTTCAAATATTGATATTAGAGGAAAAAATCATAATCATAATTTAAAAAGATATTAAAATGTTTTGATTTGTCAGTAGATTGGTAGGAAGGGATATCTCTGCAGCTCCACAACACTTCATCAAAATGACATTTAAACAAATATTGTGCTTCCTGCAGTTTGAATACCACATTGTAATTTTGATAAAATGTGGATAATTTGTGCAGCCCTATTCTTTACAAAAAAAACAGCTAAAAGATAAAAATGTTAACTATAAAATAATAAAAATATGACGACATGTTTTCTCTGTCTCTCACCTCCGGCCCCTCCGCTGACGATGGAGGCGATCCCTGAGGGCGAGGCTCCTCTCAGCCCGTCGGGGCCGACCTTTGATTGGCTGCCGATTCTCTGCTTTAGCTCCGCCTTCTCTGCCTCCAGCTGGTCGATGTCGGCCTGCAGAGCGTCCATCGTCTCCTCGAACTCCCTGCAGATAAAGAAACATCGCTCAGCTGAGGATCTGTTATTAAACACGACTTCCTGTCTGAGGTCCGAGGTCTCACTTCTCTTTCTTCTTCAGCAGCGTCTGGGCCTCGTCCAGTCGAGTCTGAATCTTTTCGACGCGCTCGTCTGCGTCTTTGGACGAACTGTCGAGCTTCTTCTCCAGCAGACTGAGCCGCACGCTGGCCTCGCTCAGCTCCTCGCCCTGAACACACGCACACAGGGTTTCATGCATTTAAAAACAATGAAAATAAGAGTGTTCCAGTCAACGGGTTTTTATTCTCGATGTGTTTACCTTGATCTTCAGAGACTTCTTCAGCTCTTTGATGACCGTCTCTCTGTCCTCCAGCTTCATGCCGAGACCTTCAGCGTCGGTGATCTCAGCCCGAAGAGCGGCCGCCCGCAGATCCACGGGAGGAGGATTCTGAAAACCAGAGAAACATCAGCTCATGCTCCATTCATGCTGAGGTGAGAAACAACACATTTGCACAGTGACACACAGAGCTGCTTCCTGACACACACCTTGTTCTGAGGCCTCTCTGAGTCGTATTCTCCCTCCTGCATGGCGGTGGCCATCTTGTTCATGGTGGCTATGACCATGCCACAGGACTGCCGCAGACTATCGTAGGTGTTAACGCCCTGAGAGCCATAGATCTGAAAATAACGGTGATGGTCATTACTCCAGAAGACTCCTTACTTTGAATCTACACTAAAGGTTTTAAAGAAACATCTGAAAAGACATTTCATTAGCAAACACTGCTATTTAACATTTTGAATACCTGCTCTCCGGCCTTGAAGGCCACGTCCTCCAGTTTGACGGCAACGAGTCCCTCCTGCTCCCCGAGAGGAGACACCATCTGAGCTCCGGCCGCTGCCACCTCCTGCAGCACCGCCACCACCCAGGTCAGGTGCTTCCTGCAGTCTGACAGCGTGTCGCACACCTGACCACAACACCACTTAGTTTAGTCAAACTAACTTATAGAGCTTTTACATAACTTTAAAAAAAAAAAAATCTAGAATTCTTATTGGTCATTTGCAACAAAAAAGCTTTGAAGTGTCATAGAGAAAGTCATTATGCAAAAAGGGACAAAGAAATAAAATGTCAAAAAAAAGTCACAGTATAGCATTTCATAAAAAAATCTAAAAGTAAAATGTGATAAAAGAGTTTGTCATTAAAAATTGACCATTCTGCACAAGGTTGAGTGTTTGGTTTCCGTGGTTACCTGTTGTCCAAAGCTGAGTGCTGCCGGTATCCCCGGAGCGTCGGTGCCCGGCATCCTGCGGCGGATCTTCTTGCAGAACTGCCGGGTGTCGCTGCAGGACGTCTCGAGGTCCTTCAGCAGCACCGCCAGGCCCGACTTCTCCTGGCCCGCGTGCAGGAACGCCCGCAGGCGCCCCACCTCCACCGACATGCAGTCCAAAGCACTCTGGGTAAACTGAAGGGGACACAAAGGAAGCAGTTAGACACACGGACATTATATAGATATTATTATGATCTTATCTATGTGTTGTACTCACTCGGATGTGATCAGCCAGCATCATGGTGCAGTCCTCGCTCTGATCCGCCAGGTGGATGCTGTACAGGTGCTGAGAAGGGACACATTTGGTAGGAATAAGTAGAACTTCACGTTCAGGGTTATATGAGAGTTCAAAGAAAACGTGTGTGTGTCCTTCTATGTGTGTGTGTGTGTGTGTGTGTGTGTGTGTGTGTGTGTGTGTGTGTGTGTGTGTGTGTGTGTGTGTGTGTGTGTGTGTATATACCTGATAGTATTTGATGGCCTTGGTGAGCTGCTCCACGTTGACGGTCTCGTCCAGCTGGTCTTTGTGCAGCAGGTCGATCAGGAAGTCCAGAGATCGCTCGTGGACGCTCATCTCCGGGTACAGAGTGCCGATCTTCTTATAGACATCCACACCGCACTGAGCCAGAGCCCTGACACACACAGTGTTGATA